GGTATTTAAGAAGTAAAGCCACCAGAGCTATCCAGCAGTCAGTAACACATAAAGATGGTATTTAAGAAGTAAAGCCACCAGAGCTATCCAATAGTCAGTAACACATAAAGATGGTATTTAAGAAGTAAAGCCACCAGAGCTATCCAATAGTCAGTAACACATAAAGATGGTATTTAAGAAGTAAAGCCACCAGAGTAAAACGTTTTTGCAACCCCTACTTCTCTGTCGTAACCTAAAAGATATTCTACAGAACAGAAAGTTAAATAAGGATTATTAAAAAGTTAGTGACATCAACCAACGCTCGTGACCGCATTCACACGTGTATTCTCATATATGGTCCAAATTCGCCAGCTTTAAAAGACAGTTTACATGTGCACCTGAATGTGGTATATGTATATAAGTTGGTGAAACTTCCGAGAAACTAGGTAACAGCTTTAGAAGAACACCTTGGCAAGATCATTACATCACGACAATAAGAGTCCTAGTTACTAGCGACTTCTGGTGACAAGGTTACGAGAGAAAATATAGAACTAAATTTAATTTCAAACTCGGTATTCGGGGGACCTTTCGGAATGAATTAAAAATTCTAACTTAAGTAAATAGACTTTATTTATTTAAATTTTTATATCACTTACATGTTCTACACGTTCTTATATCACGTGTTCCATTCCTCCCTTTCTTTTGTTTGATTGTTGTTATCTCTTCTGTGCCCACCACTGGTAACGAAATCCGGTTTTTAGCGTTATAAGCCTGTGTACTTACCACTGAGCTGGTGGGAGACACTCTGTTATTTGTAAATGCATTTTTTCCAGCGATAGTTTTCATTATTGGACTCTCATGTTGCTGCTATGGTTTTACACATTCTACACGCATCTAGCACTGATCCTGTATTCTAATATAAACTCTACGGCTTGGTAATTACAGTGAAGCCTGGATAAGGTTGAATGTGTTCGAAACGTTGCTTTGACTCGCTAATTTAGTTTAAACAATGTCATATTTTTCTGTAAGTGTTCAGAACAAGTGTTTGTTTGTTGTTAAGCAAAAAGCTACATAATGGGCTATCTATGCTGTCTCTACTACGGTTATCGAAACCTGATTCTTGCATTATAAGCCTTCAGTTGTGTTTGGTTTCGAATTTCGCACAAAGCCACACGAGAGCTAGTCGTCCCTACTTTAGCAGTGATAGACTACAGGGAAGGCAGTTAGCCAACACCACCCACCGCCAACTCTTGGGCTACAATTTTTACCAACGAATAGATGGATTGACCATCACATTATAACGCCCTCACGTCTAAAAGGGCGAGTATGTTAAGAGACGGGGATTCGAACCCGCGACCTCCCAGTTGCGAGTTCTAGCACCATACCCACCAGGCCATGAGCCTTCAGACTTGCCGCTGAGCCAGCTAGGGTCGCCGAGTTATGTTTTTTTTAAACTTCACAAAAGAAAGAAATATATCGATAGGTAAAAAGAGAAAGAGGTGATGGATGAGTAGGTGGATAATCACATAGTATGTGAAACTCCGCATTTAAGTTGATCATCGAAATTACTGGAACTTTAGGCTTAACATTAGTTAAGTTGAACATCGAAATTACTGGAACTTTAGGCTTAACATTAGTTAAGTTGATCGTCGAAATTACTGGAACTTTAGGCTTAACATTAGTTAAGTTGAACATCGAAATTACTGGAACTTTAGGCTTAACATTAGTTAAGTTGAACATCGAAATTACTGGAACTTTAGGCTTAACATTGTTATATCTTTCCCTGCATACGATAATGATTACTTGAACTCTGTTTGTTTTTATTTTATGTCCAACTCAGTGAAACAGCATAATATTCACGTTTACATTTATTAATTCACATTACCGAATCGTCTTCTTTCTGGAACTCTTCTAGGCCTTTTAGTTTGTCATTAATACTATAAAATCTTGGTTTGGGAGGTAAAGGTGGTCGAAAATCAACTGTACAGTAGCTCCCTCTAAATAATTCCTTTTGATTTTGACTTGCAACAATGTTCACACATTCGTCGTAGGAACCGAAGCCCGTGAGTGTTCCAGTCAAAATGCCTCCTGGTGGTTTTCCTGCGGCATCAACCACTGCAAATCAAATCTTCATTCGTTAAAATCCTTAAGACACAATAAATTCAAATTTGTCAAGCTTCTTGAGCGTTAATTGAATTTTAAATAAATCAAGACCTAGGTATAGGTTTCTTGGTTTTGAGTATTAATTTCAATATATATTACAAATAATAGTGTTTCAAAGCCAGCGACAAATAATATCAAAAGATAACTTGAAATGTTGTAACAGTAATGTAATTTCAATTGATCAAAACGTTCATAACAAGATACTCTTAAAACAAACAAAAAAAATAATAATAATTCACGCAAATCGTACTTACTTAAAACAACGTTAAGAAGTAAATCCAGCTTTTCCATTAGATAATTATAATTTTATGTTTTCTAACAAACAAATAGTTCTCGGAATGAGTTCAATTTACAACGTTTCGTATCAACAGACTGTTTCGTCTCAGTTTTTTGTTTCCGTCATAAGAACGGAAAGATTGACTATCACTGAAATAAGTACAAAGTTTATAATATATTTGATTGTTTATCTATTATAAATGAACTCCCAACTTTAAATAATAACACAATTTCATTACAATTAAATCTGTTATGAATACTTGCATAATTGTAGAATATTGTTGGAATTGTGCTATTATTTCTTCTTTATGTGTTTGTCTTTTAATTTACTTCTTTCTTCTTTATTTGTTTGTCTTTTAATTTACTTCTTTCTTCTTTATCTGTTTGTCTTTTAATTTACTTCTTTCTTCTTTATCTGTTTGTCTTTTAATTTACTTCTTTCTTCTTTATTTGTTTGTCTTTTAATTTACTTCTTTCTTCTTTATTTGTTTGTCCTTTAATTTACTTCTTTCTTCTTTATTTGTTTGTCTTTTAATTTACTTCTTTCTTCTTTATTTGTTTGTCTTTTAATTTACTTTTTCTTGTCTATTTGTTTGTCTTTTAATCTTACTTCTTTCTTGTCTATTTGTTTGTCTTTTAATTTACTTTTTCTTGTCTATTTGTTTGTCTTTTAATCTACTTCTTTCTTGTCTATTTGTTTGTCTTTTAATTTACTTCTTTCTTCTTTATTTGTCTTTTAATTTACTTCTTTATTGTCTATTTGTTTGTCTTTTAATTTACTTCTTTCTTGTCTATTTGTTTGTCTTTTAATTTACTTCTTTCTTGTCTATTTGTTTTTCTTTTAATTTACTTCTTTCTTGTCTATTTGTTTGTCTTTTAATTTACTTCTTTCTTCTTTATTTGTTTGTCTTTTAATTTACTTCTTCCTTTTATTCTGTATTTTTATCAATTTTTTATAAAATGTTTAAATTTATAAATTTTTGTACCTAATAATTTATCCAGTTCAATATAGCTTGCTAAAGATGGAATATGGATATTCCGAAACGTTCAAGAAATAAATGTTTGTTACTGCACACGTGTCACATTTTCGTTGTTGCTGCCGTCGTTTCGTTCAAGATTTGATTGTTTGATTGTTTTTAATTTCTTAGAAGTAAAATTTCTTTTAAAGTAAATTTTAACATAATTCATTATATTGGATTTTAAACATTAAGAATAAAGATGTGACCGGTTTTTTACGTTGGTCACCAGAGGCGCTAGATTCGAATACCATATTGATTCAAAATGTTATACTTCTTAAGATATCGCCCTTGATGTCACAACTGTAACTGCTAGCTACCATTATAAATTTGAAAACTATGTAATGTATGAGACTGAACTATTGTTTCCACTCCCATAAATATTTATCGATGTATGTATATATGGGTTCATGTGCAGCAAACTGTAATCTCACTGAATCAGCCACTTTCAAGGTGTGGTATATATATATATCCCTGAATCAGACAAAGCTGAATCAGCCACTTTCAGGGTGTGGTAGATATCACTGAATCAGACAAAGGTGAATCAGTCATTTTCAGGGTGTGATAAAGTGTTACAGTTTCGAAATACACACCTGGGCTAAAGACAAATCATAACAACCTTATAGACCCCCATCATGCTCAGGTGTTCTTCCGGGGACGTTTTAGGTCCCCTTGATATTTCTTTGGTAGGGGATACGTCATGCAGATAAGTATACCTCCTCAAGCACACCAAATCCGCCTACCAAGTGTGGTCCTGTTAGCTCCTGAAGAATAGGAGGAGTTAGCTGTACATATATATATATATATATATTATCTTATAGTTCCCTTTAGTTGTATTTAATATCTTATAGTTCTAATTAATATCTTATAGTTCTATGCAATATCTTATAGTTCTATGTCAATATCTTATAGTTCTATTCAATATCTTATAGTTCTATTCAATATCTTATAGTTCTATTCAATATCTTATAGTTCTATTCAATATCTTATAGTTC